CAGAATGTTCATTGCAGCCCAATTCATAATTGCTAGGTCATGGAAGAAGCCCAAGAGCCCATCGATCCACGAATGGATCAATAAACTGTGGTATATGTACACCATGGAGTACTGTGCAGCCATTAAGAAAGATGGGGACTTCACCTCCATATTTACATGGATGGAGCTGGAAAATATTCTTCTTAGCAAAGTATCCCAAGAATGGAAGAAAAATGGAAGAAAAAATGTCCAATGTACTCAGCCCTACTATGAAACTAATTTATAGCTTTCATAGGAAAGCTATAACCCAATTTTAGCCCAGAAACGAGGGGAGTGGGAGGAGAGGGGAGGGTGATTGACGGCATCATGCCTATGGTTCATCCTATAAGGGTACATGTGAATCTCTGTAAATGTAGAATGTAAATGTCTTAACACAGTAACTAAGAAAAAGATATGAAGGCTATGTTAACCAGTTGAATGAAAGTGTTTCAAATTGTATACAGAAATAGTACACTGTACCCCATGACAGTATTAATGTATACTACTGTGATTTAATTAAAAAAAAAAAAGAAAAGAAAAGAAAAGAAAGATGCAGGAAAAGGAAAAAAAAAAAACTCATAACAATTACAAGATTAAGAAGGATGAACTTCCTAAAGGAAACCGAACAGGAATGACCAAAGTAGAAAGACTTTAAAGAGTGTGTGTGGAGAAGAATATTTCAGGGCCGATTAGAAAGTATCAAATGCTGCTGAAAGGTTTAATGAAGTCAGTTGGGGAAGCTTGTCTTTTGGATTTATATTACTTAGAGTTGTAAATACCTAGGATACAAAAAAAAAAAAAAAAACACATGCTATTGCTTCATTCTTCATTACCTGAAGTCCAGCTCTTTTTTTGGTTGACTGCTGGATTTGGAAGCTGTGTGTTTGGCAAGGCATTTTTTATTGAACGATTATACCAGAAATTCCTGTGGTATAGATTTCTATTAATGTTTTTACTAAAAAAAAAAAAAAACATTTTTAATCTACATACACAGGTGTATTTCCATCTCAGAAAAAAAGCATATTCTCTACTACTATTTTAACTTTAATTATTACTTTTTTTTTTTTTTTTTTTTAGGCAGGAGAGGCCCCCTATTTTTTCCTTGGTAGAGTACTGTGCTGTCACAGCTCACAGCAACCTCAACTTCTTGGGCTTAAGAGATTTTCTTGCCTCAGCCTCCCACATAGCTGGGACTTGAGGCGCCCGCCACAACACCCAGCTGTTTTTATGTTGGTGGTAGTTGTTGTTGTTTGGCAGGCCTAGGCCTGGTTCAAACCCACCAGCCTAAGTGTATGTGGCTGGCACCCTAGCTGCTGAGCTATAGGCATCAAGCCTAATTATTACATCTTTTACTTTTCATAGTTCTCTATGAATCATCAGCATATTATTTACAAGTTGCTTATTTATTTTTTCTCCATTAAAAAATTGGCCCTCTTCTGAATTCTGAGAGCAGTTTATAATGTAGATCTTTGGGTTGTTTTTTTTGTTTGTTTGTTTGTTTGTTTTAGAGAGAACAGCATAAAAACTGTGCCTTCAGCATTTTAGGATTATTATTTAAGGAACTTTTTGATTATTGAAATTTGTACTATCAAAAAATTAAAGGTTTAAAGTTAACTTTTTTTATAGAGATACAAATATTAGATATTTCTATTACATTTAAATTTCTTTATCAATATTTTCTTGACTTCTGTAATTCTGGTTCCATTGCTTATATTTTGAACTGGCAAGGTAGTATTTTAATAAATACTACCTATTGTAACCCATTGTTTAGGAAACTAATTATATACATTTTTCTTTTTTGTTTAGATATGGAGTATGAAACAAGATAATTGTGTCCATGATTTACAAGCACATAATAAAGAAATTTATACTATCAAATGGAGTCCAACAGGCCCAGGGACAAATAATCCAAACGCCAACCTTATGTTAGCAAGGTGATATTTTTGTTTTATTCTTCCTGTGTCGAGTTTTCTACAAATAAGATTTCTAGTAAATATGTCAGAAGATTTTATGAAACGTATCCTACAAGGAATATATTTTTGGGAATATATATGGGAAACTTTAAACACAGGGTTTTATTACTGATATTTCAGGTAATAATGGTTTTTTATATTTGGAGATAATCAAATATTAACTGATAATATCAAATATTGTTTAAAACCCAAGTAATTGAGGCATAGTAAAATCTAGTTTCTTTAGCATGTTTTAAAAAAAGATAAATTTAAAAGTCTGGCCAATTCAGTGTTGAAAACCATGGACCACTAAAAAAGAACTATTTAGAGAAAAAAGGAATAGAACAATAAGTTCATGAATCTTTTCAATTCAGGACCTTGGGGAAATTTTTTTTTTCTCTTGTTCAGCTTACATTTTCCAGGATGCTTTCTTCCTCACAGTCCAACCCACTTCTCTTAAAGAATTTGTCACTGCCTGTGTATGGGAGGGTGGGGACAGGGTTGGGGGAGTATCTCATCACCTAATCAAATCATGTTTTTTTCTTCCATTTCAGTGCATCCTTTGATTCTACTGTTAGGTTATGGGATGTAGACCGAGGAATTTGCATCCACACTTTGACAAAACACCAAGAGCCCGTGTACAGTGTAGCTTTCAGTCCTGATGGCAGGTATCTGGCAAGTGGTTCTTTTGACAAATGTGTGCACATCTGGAACACACAGGTATGTCTGAGTTATTTAAATGGTCTGACACCCTTAGATTTAGTTAGGAACATCTACCAGTACAAATACGTCTCCTTATTTGGTTTTCCTTCTTCATGAGGCATTAATTCAGTTCTTTGGAGGGGGTTACACCTAAGTGAAGATCAAAAGTGAAGTTTTGAAATGAATTTAGATTTCTTTTATTATTATTAATATCATCATTATCATATTCTTTGTTTTTTCCCCAACAGTTTTGTTTATAAGTATTTATTTAGGTATGCAACAGGCTTTATTTATTTTCTAGAAGAATTTTCCTTGAAGGAGCTATATATGAGCAGTAAACAAAATGTGTTAAAAGACAAGATTTTATGGCTGAACAAAGTGATTTATCAGAATCAGACTTATATTGTGTCTTCAGGGATGATGCTATAAAAGTGGAGAAAGAAGCCTATCGTTTTCATTTTTTAATCTTCTCAATGTTGTAGTTTTTATGTTTGATTGACTTTGTTTTTTAACAGCAGACACTGGACTCAGGCCCCCTGCCAGTCATTAGGTCTTGATGGTCTGTGGTGTGTGCTCATGCATGCACACACACACACTGAGTTACTGTGATCTGTTTACATGTAGCTGGCCACTACCAAAGTTGATTTCACAAGCTGATTTGCATATGCCATCATTTTCAAGTGGTTTTTGATGAAGTTATACATTGATGTTTTGGTAAACACCAAACATTATATGAAGGCATACACTAGGACGTATTTGCCATTTCTGGCTTCATTTGCTGGTAGCTGTTTTTATTAGTTTCTTTTTTCTTTAGTTCTTTCTCACTGTTTTTTTATATTACACTATCACTGGAAATGTAGGAGAATGTTACTTCTTCACATTCTAACCTATAGGTGAAAATGATATTTCAGTGTAGTTTTATATTTCTTTATGAGAGTGGTTGAGAATTGTTTTATATATTTAAGGATTTATGTTTATTTTTCTGAAACATGATCATGTTTTTTCCTTGTTTTTCAACTGGGTTTCCTCTTCCCCAAAGGAAAAAATACATGTTACTCTAGGACACTGGTTCTCAACCTTCCTAATGCTGTAACCCTTTAATACAGTTCCTCATGTTATGGTGACCCCCAACCATAAAACCATTTTCATTGCTACTTCATAACTGTAATTTTGCTACTATTATGAATCGTAATGTAAATATCTGATATGTAGGATGTATTTAGGTGACCCCTGTGAAAGAGTCGTTTGATCCCCAAAGGGGTCATGACCCACAAGTTGAGAACTATTGCTCTAGAGTGATAATTTGTTTTGTCTGCTCTAGAACATCATGTGAATATATCAGTTTTTTAATTCATTGTCCTATTGAGGGTCTTTAAAGTATTACAAACAATATGTGAACCTACTTGACACATGTTGCCTTGTGCACAGGAAAGTTCTCTAATACTTTACTATAAATATATCTATAAGTGGAAATCTTGGGCCCTTAGGATATACTTGCTAAACTGCTCTTCAAATTGCTTAACTTGTTTACACTTCTAAAGGCGATATTTAGGGTTTCCCATTTTTTATAACTCTTATAAGATTATCAGACCATTAGACATTTTTCTAATTTGATGGATTTGAAATATTTTTTTAATTTGCATTCCTTGTTTATTAATGAGTTTAAATGTCTTTTCAAATAGTTACTATCCAGTTGGACTTTGATTCCTTTGAGTCTGCCCTCCTGCTGCCTTCTTTATTTTTTGTATTGGTTAGTTAGCTTTTCTTATGTATTCTGTATACTTACCTTTCTTGGTCATATGGATTTCAATATCTCTCAGTTTCCGATGTTGTCATTTTCTTTGTGAGGTATTTATAATAAAGAAGTTTTTAAATTAATGTTTGAATTTGTTGGTCTATCTTTCGTGGTCTTAAGTGACTTATTTTTAGCGAGAGGATGTCACAGTATTGCTCAGGGTGGACGGCCAGCTGGGCTCGAGCATTCCTTCTCCTCAGCCTGTAGCTAGGGCTATAGGTAGAACACTGTACCCACCCAGCTGGGCTCTCCTTTTCATTGGTGCTTTTTATAGATAATTTGATACATTCTTCCTCATGTAGATGTCATTGAGGCCTCTGATTTTTTTTTTCATGAAGTACTTAAGCTTTATTCTTTTAAATTTTTAACTCCCATGGAACTGATCATATGTGGTGTGAGGTAGGGATACATACTTATTTTTCCATAGATGCAATCAGTTGTCTCATTATAATTCATTGTCCCCTTAACTGTTTTCATAATGCTACTTCTTTTATTTACCAGGTTTATGTCTGGGCACTTAGTTTATAGACTCTTTTTTATTCCATTGGTATGCTTATATATACCTGAATCAGTAACAGTTTTTTATACTAAATTTAACTTTATATATCCCCATCCTACTCTTCAAAATTGCTTTTCTGTTTTTAGCACTTTAGTCTTCATATTTCCCCCCAAAAGAACCATGTAGCTATGGATTTTGTTTATGACTGCCTTGAATTTATAGGTAAAATTTATAGGGAAATAGTTATAGTGTTTTATCACCTATACATATGTCTCCAGTTATTTGTCTTTTATTCAGTAAAGTTTTATAATTTCTCTATAAAGTTCTCTTTGTTTAAAAAAAATTCTCTTTGTGAATATTTTCTAAGTTGCCTTCTGGATTTTATGTTATTGTGACATCTTTTAAGAAGTATATTCCTTTCACTAAAAGTAAATTGCTATGTTGAGGATATTTTCAGTCATGCATTTAATCCAATGTGACAAAATCATTTTTGATGACATATGAGAATAGAACTGTGTGGAGTACTAATGAAAGATACTATGAGGCTTTTAAAGGCAACTCAGCAGCTTATCCATATTATTTTCTTGTATCCCTGTGGGATGTCAGAATTCTCATTTTACTTTTTTATGGCATCTAGTTGATTTTAAATACAGGAGAAAGTCTTTTTGTTTGGTCATATGAACATCTAGTTGGGTGTTTTTTTCATTCATTACTTGGATGATGTGTTACCTGAGCATTTGGGGAGGTGTATTGTTGAAGCCTTGCCCCAACATACATCAGATTAGAGATAGATCATGGTGATCTAATCCATTGGCCTCTTCCCCTTCCCTCAGATTAATATAAGGGTACTTATGATTAGCTTACATGTTGCGTTCGCTAGATAAAGTCCAAATTTTAGTTGAGCCCTTCACTTAGTAGATGTGCCAGAGACCCCTCCATTGTGCCGGTTAGGTGAGAGCTTACCAACCTCCCTTCGTCCTCTCTCCTCTCCCCTTTCTTGAATTTAATTGTGTTTTTCTTTTGTGTGGGAATCTATAAGTTGTTCATCTCCTAGTTTCATATTAGTATTGAGTACTTTGGATGCTTGCTTTTCCATTCTTGTGATACTTTACTAAGAAGAATGTGTTTCAACTCCATCCAGGAAAATACAAAAGATGTAAGTCTCTGTCTTTTTTATGGCTGGTGGATAGTATTCTGTGGTATACTGATACTATAGTTTATTTATACATGCGTTAGGTGATGGGTACTTGGGTTGATTCCACATCTTTGTGATTGTGAATTGAGCGACAGTAAACATTCTAGTGCAAATGTCTTTATGGTAAAATGATTTTTTTTTTCTTCTGCATAGATACCTAGTAAAGGGATTGTGTGATCAAATGGAAAGTCTACTTTTAGCTCTTTGAGGATTCTCCATAATTCTTTCCAAAGAGGCTGTATTAGTTTGCAATCTCACCAACATGGTATAAGTGTTCCCCTTTCTCCACATCTACACCAGCATCTGCAGCTTTGGGACTTTGTGACTTGGGCTATTCCCACTGGGGTTAGATGATATTTGAAGGTGGTTTTGATTTGCATATCACTGATGATTAGGGATGATGAGCAATTTTCAGGTTTGTTGGCCATTCATCTGTTTCATCAGACAAGGTTCTTTTCATGTCTGTTGCCCAGTGAGATTGTTTATTCTTTTCTTGTTGATTAGTTTGAGTTCTCTGTAGATTCTGGTTGTTTGCTCTTTGTCAGATTTGTAGTATGTGAGTATCTTCTCTCATTCTGAAGGTTGTCTACTTGCCTTAGTTGTTGTGTTCATAGCTGTGCAGAAGCTTTCAGCTTGATCAGGTCCCATTTATTTATTTATTTTTGTTGCTGCCCTTGGCAGTAGGGTCATCATCAGAAAAAATTGCCCCAGGTGGACATCCTCAGGACATTTCCCCTCACTTTTTTCTAGAATTTTTATCATTTCATGTCTCAAATTTAAATCTTTTATTCGTGGTGAGTCAATTTTTATAAATGGAGAAGTGCGGGTCCAAGTTTAGTCCTTTATTTGTGGCTAACCATTTCTCCCAGCACCGTTTATTAAATACGGATTCTTTGCCCCAGTGTATGCTTTTGGTTGATTTATCAAAGATCACATGGGTATGTCAGGCTGGTTCCATCTCTGGGTTTTTTGTTTTGTTCTTTATGTTTATGTGTTTATTTCTGTGCCAATACCATGCTGTTTTGATGACTGTAAACTTATAACTTGAATTTGGTAAAGTGATGACTCCAGATTTGTTTTTATTTATTAGAATTGCATTGGCTATTCAAGGTTTTTTCTTTATCAAACACCAAAACTGCAACAACAATAAAAAAGTTTTACACCAGAATTCTACCAGGCCTTCAAAGAAGAGCTTGTATCTATATGGCAGAACCTATTTCAAAACATCAAGAAGGAAGAAACTCTTCCCAACTCCTTCTATGAAGGAAATATCAGCCTTATTACAAAACCAAGAAAGTACCCAACAAACAAACAAACAAACAAAAAAAACATAGACCAATTTCACTATCGAATATTGATGCAAAACAACTCGATAAAATTCTAGCAAATAGAATACAGCTATAAGCTATATACATCATGACCAGGTGGGCTTCATCCCAGGGATGCAGAGTTGGTTCAAATTCATAAGTCAAATTCATAAATGTAATTCACCACATAAACAGAAGCAAAAACAAAGACTATGTAATTCTTTCAACAGATGGAGGAAAAGCATTCAATTTAGCATCATTTTCTGACAAGAACACTGAAAAGAATAGGCATAAATGAGATTTATTAAATGGATGGAGGCCATCTGCAACAAACTCACAGCTCCTATTATACTGAATGAAGACTGAAAGCTTTTCTGCTTAGAACTGGAACCAGAAAAGGATGTCCTCCATCACCACTACTGTTCAACATTGTGCCGGAAGTTCTAGCCAATGCATTCAGGCAAGAGAAGATTGTCAAGGGTATTCAAAGGGGAAAGATAATCAAACTTTCATTCTTTGCTGATAATGGTATACCTCAAAAACCATGGGGACTCAAGCACAAGAATTCTAGAAGTAATAAAGAAATACAATAATGTCTTGGGATACAAAATCAGTGTCCACAAGTCAGTATCCTTCATATACTCCAATAACAGTCAAACTGACAATCAAATCAAAAACAAAGTTCCCTTCACAGTAGCTTCAAAGAAAATGAAATATTAGAGGCTATACCTAACAAAAGATGTGAAGGATCTCTGCAGAGAGAACTATGAAACTCTGAGAAAAGAAATAGCACAAGACGTTGACAAATGGAAGAGCATACCATGCTCATGACTGAGAAGGATCAACATTGTTAAATGTCCACACTACCCAAAGTGATCCCCATCAAAGCACCAACATCATACTTTGAATAACTTGAAAAAGTAGTTCCTTGTTACATATGGAGCCATTGGCCTTTTTAAACATCCATGCTGTTTTGATTCATTATAGCCTTATTCAAGCTTAGAGATTGAAAACTGCTTTTGAAAGAAAGCTGTTTGTTTTTTAACCCCAACAAACTAAGTATAGACCGCATGCATTTTGGTCAGCTATGGAGTTTACTTTCTGTAACTCAGAAACTTTAGATTTTACTGGTTCTACTCTATTCTTTCCTCAAAAACCATAAATCTTCAAGGCCTACTAAACTCAAAATCTAATATATTATGGGGAATTTTAAGTAGGAAAGAAAACCATTTGAGCCTTCCCAGTCTGTTAAGCCTTAGAAGAGCACCTGTGGTTCGTTCGCATCACATCATAAGACTGAATTTGAAAAGCAAAGGAGGGAGACCAGTCTCCGACCCTGGTGGTTAACTTGAGTAGGCCATATGGGGGGTATTTCCAAAGTATGTGGGTTTCTTGTCATGTTGTTTGTAGGGAGATCTGCTACCTCTAGCTTGATGTCTCACGTTATCGTACCTAAAGCTGCAGAGGTCACTTTGCTGATCTGTCAGGGCAGAACACCAGAGTCACATTTCTTAGGGTTTTCTGGTTTTCTCAGTAGGACCTTTGGCCACTGCCCTGTATAACTGGCTTCATAGGAGAACACATTTTCAAACTGTTGTGTTTTTTTCATGGGTAGCTGAATGAATTTTGTTTTCATTGCTGAAGGAATAAAATAACTTAGTTACACTTAAGATTCATCTAAATCGATGAGATTGTTAGTATTCCAGGCTTATGGGGTTTTTATTTTAATTTATGACATCTTTTAAGTATAATGTACATGTCATGTATTCTTTTAATTTCTTCTATCTCCCTATGCTATAAAGAGTGAATAGCAGATGTATAGTGGAATTGTCTTTACTAGTTTATTGTACTTTCTTTTTGGGATGTGTTGTCCAAGAAATTCTAAATTAATTTTGTTTCTCTGTGTGTCAGCTAAACTCATGCATCCTTCAACAAAAACAAAAACTTCCTTCATGTCATATACTGAATGTTTACTTCTAGCTGTTGTTAGCTATGTCAGAGGGCAAAGATGCCTTAGCCAAGAGTGATCATTGACATGGGAGAAAAAGAATGTGTGAGTAACTTTTTGAGAGCAGGCTAGTATTATCTTTTTACAAAAAAATCATCGTATCACATTTGTAGAGTTTCAGAACTTGTACTTATTTTATAGTTGAAGCTAAGTCCCATCTCTGATTGCTGGAGACAAGGTAATAAAAGATTTTTTATCCTGTTGTGTGGATTCGCAGTGATAAAATGATTCAGATTTTGTTTTTTATTTTTTCAGACAGGTGCTCTAGTCCACAGCTATAGGGGAACAGGTGGGATTTTTGAAGTTTGTTGGAATGCAGCAGGAGACAAAGTTGGAGCCAGTGCATCAGATGGTTCAGTAAGTATAGTAAAGTATTTCCAGAGTGGGTGTGGGGGGTTAATGTGTGTGTGTCCACATGACCTGTCGCTTCTCATGGGAGTGACACAAAAGTGTTCTTTTCAAAATAAATTTTAAGATTAGTACTGCTTCTTCCCCTGAATGTTATATACTTTTTGTGTTTATTATATTCAAAGAATATAAATAAGATTTAGGCTGACTTTGCTAAGAGTGCCTTTGTAAGCAAGAAGTGGACAGTTATTTTTAATGTAAACTTTTGTTAATGAAACTAAATATAGCAGAGTACTACTTTGTGCTTTGAATTTTTAATGCCTGTTTCTACCTTCTCCCCGCAGAAGAATGTTGTTGGTCCAAGACAGGTGGTATTAGAGTCATGGATTCCTACGTTGAGAAATACGATAGGTTGGCCAGCCCTTTACAGAGAAACTAGGATGGCCTCCAACGCTCTTAAAGTAAAGGGAAGATGGAAAGACCATAGCAGGAGTGTTTACTGAAGCTGTATCTGAATATAAGCTGTGATACCTTTCATTAGGGTCCAGGCAATAGGGAATGGTCTATTCTGAACATTTTCTCTTTTTATTAGTAACTTCTAAAGAATGTTAGCTATGGTTCTTCCACCATAGTATTCGTTCATGGTTTTCTGCTTAACCTACTTAATGATCCATCCAATATCTATTGGTTAAGTGCCCTTTTCTTCGATTATTGTCTTCATTAGTTTCATGAATTTGGAACTAAGAAACAGATTGCAAATTGTACTATAAAAGAGTTAAACACAAAATGTACAATAAAATTCTGAACATACTAATTGATTAATTTAATCTCTTACAGGTTTGTGTATTAGACCTTCGGAAATAGCGCTACTAGTTGGAAGCCATGGACCGACTATGAATGTGTACATAGCCAAAATGACTGTCCCTGACCCACGTACTGCTATAGTCCCACTTGAACCATGGCCAGCCCACTGCAGCCAAATCTAAAAGAAACATATACATACAGTGTATATAAACAAAATTGCACCCTGAAGATGACAAGAGTTTTGTCACAGCTTGTGAATTCTGTTCACCAAGTGCTGGAATCTAATCTGCTGTGCCCCTAAAATAGCATTTAGAAGTTTTGGATATGAAAAACAGAAGAGAGAAAGAAATATACATTATAAAACCAGACCATACATGTACCAGTTTTTGGATACTAATGACAGCCTTGTTTCTCCCCTTTGAATCAGCAGACACCATGGATTATATTCTTTTTTCCCTTCAGTAGTGAGCAGTTTGTATGTACAGAGAAAGTGGACTTACAAAAACTTGCAGCAGTAGTTTGTTCTTGCTTTTAAATTTTGTTTTTGATTTAGATTATGGATGCATGAAGTAAGGGAGTGAATCAGATTATTGTTTGTTTTTTTCACCTTTTAAACAAAAAAAAAATTCTGAAAAATATTATAATGCATTCTTTTGAAGAGGTAGATGTTTGGTACATTTTATGGCTCCCAGAGCATATATTCAATTGGTGCATGTTGTGGAAGGGGGAATTGGAAATTAAATGAAAACGTATGACTTTGGTCATGTCAATCTGTAAGACACATCAGTAAAAGGGTATTATGCTCTGTTTTTTTTGGTGATGTGGCTTAAATGCAATAGTTTCTTTTTTGGGACATATTTCCGCCAATTAAAGACTAGAAGGGCACAAAAAAAATTTTTTTTAATACCATAGAGAAGATACATTAAAAAAAAATCTTCTGATGTTTTGTAGCCATAACTAAATTATGGTTAAAATGTGCACTATTGTGAAAAGGAGCAAAGTAGTTTTGGGTTTTTTTTGTTGTTGGTTTTGCTTTGTTTTTTAAGAGATTAAAATGTTTCTGGATAAGGATTAGCTTCTTAAAGCGTCCATCATTCTGTGTAGAAGCTTAAATATGTAATGTAACCAAACTCCAGTATTAAAGAATCTCTGATGTTATTTTTCTTTATACAAAGCAAGATAACGGCATATAACACTGCCATTACATGGCAAAATGTTTGCTACCTTAGTTTAAAAAAACAATCTTTAAAACAAAAGACTTGCTTCAAGATGTTTTTAAATAGCAGTGATTCAGAATTTTTTTTAGAAAAACAGTATAATTGCACTAACCTCCCTGCTGCTTTGATCTGCATTTGTGGTACTTGTGACTACATTTTTTTCAAATATAGATAGATTTAAGCTGCTATTTTTTTCAGTAATCACTACTATATCATGTCTTTTTATAATATCAAATATTTTCTTAACGATGTAGGTAGCAAATCCCTCCTTTCGTGTTTATGCAACTTAAATATACAGACAAATGATAGTATGAGGCCACGTTTATATGTGTGACTAACAGGGTTTGTTATGATTAACACAAGAATACAGGAATGTCAATTTGGAAGAGAATAGTTGTCAAATTTATATATCTAAAATTTTAATTAAGGAATTACTTGTTATCGAGTTTAGCAAATTTATAACACTATTTCTGCCGCCAATTATTTTGAGGCCTTTACAACTAAAATTTTAGCCTATATTCTAAGTTTAATTAGTAACTAATTTAACCCAAGTCGCACAGCTTTAATTTTTCCTCATTTGTTGCTTTGCTATTTTTACAAAACAGCAGTGATTGAAGCAAGTCTTGGTTTTACTAAGGTAGGATAGCATTTGCTATTGGTAAAGAGAATAAATACACTTAATTTCACAATACATTGTTATATGTACCCCAGTTGTTGTTAGTGGGGACTATGATACTGTAATATTTTTTAAAATTTACATCCAGAGAGGCAGTCATTCATGATGGTTTTGTGCCAGCTCTTTTTAGGGTTTTGGAAAACATTAGAGATATTTAGAACTTATTACCCTGTGACTTATGTAGGAAACCTAATATGCTGAGTATCTGGCACTTGAAATCCTGCTTTTATTGCTAGAGGTCCACATCTGTGGTTTACCTCTGTTGTTGTTTAAAAAAATAAATAAAAATAAAAAAATCTGTGCAATAATTTTTAAATGTGCTCCCAGGAATAGACACAAATGTTTTGAGTATGTTTAAGCTGCATTTTCCTTTAGTGATGCATTTGTCAATTGCACTGAATTTAAATCTGAAAGTCAGAGGTGATTATTGATAGTACTTTTGTATTTTGATAATGGACAATTTATTCATTTGCATACAGTTATTGACTTTTTCCCAGCTGACAAAAAGATAGTCAAGAAATTCTGCAATATAGCTGCCAAAATAGACAGCTACATTTTTATGATATTGTCATCTTTTCTGTTTTTTTTCTTTTTAATTCTTTCACTATTTTACTTAAGCATAATAGCCACAATAGGACATATAAAATATTATAAATACAGAGCTTTATTATCCTGAAGTCTTGGGTCTTCTAAGTGTAAGCGTTTCTGAAAGGTATCCATTTTGTAGGCGTGGGTTCTTCATGAGCACATGATTCTTTCCTTTTGCTGCTGTTCTCAAGATCATCATTGCCTGCTGATGTGCCACGATGCTGCTCCAAAGACAAACATAAGATTGCCTCGAATTTGAGCAGTAACATGATTGCAAGAGACCAAGTTTCACAGCCTGTAAAGTTCTGTATTTGGGGTTCTTGCTCATTTTTCCTCCTATATTCTTGTGAAAACTTATTCCTGAAGATCAACTGAATCCCGTAGTTTTTCTGTGGTATTCACATAAATCGTTGTATAAGCTACTGTAAGTAACCTATCTTTAAGGAAAAATAGAAAGGAAAACTTGAATGAATGAATACTCACTGATTAAAACAGAATAAAGGAAGAGCAGCTGCCACTGTTAAACAATAAAAAGGAATATCTTTGTTTTTCCTCCATGTAGGAAATTCTATAAGTTCTTATATTTGCTCCAGTCCCCATTTCCTTTATCGATCAGGTAACATCATTGACTTTCAAATGACCTTTAGAAGTGGTAACTTTTAATTTTCTAATAGATATTAGAGTGTATCGAATTCTGTTTAATTATTCTCTAGGTAAGTATGTTTTAGGATTAAACACCTTTTACAGATACTGAAAGTGCCTCCTTTTGTGGTGTAAAAAAACAAATTATGGTGCAAAAAGTAATCACTAGATTGAATTACATGAAGGTTTTTTGCTTTTTGACATGAAAATGTCAAGAGAAAGGCCAAAGATTTGTACTTTTTCACTTAACTTATAAAGCACTCCTTTTTTTCCTTAAACTTCTTTCTGTCAAATTAGATTTAATGAGAGAGTACTATTTTTCAGGAGCTATCTGTTTATGTAGAATGATTTGTTAAGAGTAATGTAAACTATTATTGAGTAGAGGCCTAAAGAGGACTGTGCATTTTTGCTATTTAAAGGAATCAAATGACCGTACTTATGTGAGCAAAAATGACAAGTTTTACTAGATAAGTAGAAAATTAAATCTCAAATGCAGTGCTATTTACTCTTTTAAAACAATTTTCATTTTCTTAAGTACATTGTACATTTCTACAGAAACCTGTGTTTATTCTCACATGCTAAGGATGGTACTTGCATATGGTGAATTACTGTTGACAGTTGCCGCAGAAATCCTATTTCAGTGGACCAACATTGTGGCATGGCAGCAAATGCCAACATTTTGTGGAATAGCAGCAAATCTACAAGAGACCCTGGTTGGTTTTTTGTTTTGTTTTGTTTTTTTCCCCCTTCTCCTGAATCAGCAGGGATGGAAGGAGGGTTGGAAAGTTATGAATTAACTCCTTCCAGTAGTAGCTCTGAAGTGTCACATTTAGTATCAATTTTTTTTAACATGATTCTAGTTAAAATTAGAAGAGAAAAAAAGGAAGTGTTCACTTTTATAATACACTGACTTAGAAATTTGATGTCTTATATCAGTAGTTCTGAGGTATTGATAGCATTGTTTATTTCTGCCTTTATGTTGACAGTGTTGAAGCAGGGTGAATAACTAGGGCATATTTTTTTTTCTAGTAAGCTGTTTCATGATGTTTTCTTTGGAATTTCTGGATAAGTTCAAGAAAACATTCTGCATGTTGTATCTAGTCTGATGTACTTATCCATCTCATTACAAACACACACATGCAGAGTGCGTCTGTAGCTCTGTGACTGTTGATACAGAAGTGATTTTCTTCTTTCCTGACTTTGACATTGTAGCTATAATGTTTTCATTTTGATTTTTACAAATCCTTTGGGTCTAATTCTGTGAGCCTACCTATAGCACTGGATTAAAATGTCTGCATCATTTCTTTAGTTATCCAGTTAACTTTAAAACTGTTGTAAAAGTGTAAACCAGCCCATGACAGGTTTTTGTACATGTTAAAGAACTTTATTGTTCAGTTTTCATGATTATTGTGTAAGGAAGACTGATATAGATGTTCTATGCTGTCCTGGACCATGTTAATTACACTTAAGATGTATTTTGGTTCCACATCACAATGATTTGTCCCCAATGACCCTTTTATCCTTTCTAGGCACATTTTTTGTTGTTGTTGTTGCAGTTTCCCTTTGCATTGTATTGCTTTGACAACTGTAATTTGAATCAGATCTGAAAGAGGTCCAGAATAAAATATATTTTGATATTATGTTGGCTGTGTACATATATAAAACCTTTGATATCTATGTAGTTTGTACAGACTATTTACTAGTCAAGTAAAGAGAGAGAGATGTTATTTCTTGTTTACAGTTTCTTGTTTACATTTTAATTGCTTTTATTTCTCCAGTGTTCTATTATAGAATAAACTTTTTTGCTCTGAGTTAGCCTTCAGAACCTATACCATGTGTATTCTCTCCCATACTGCTGTCTCTAATTATCACTGCATCAGAACCCAAACCACTGTTTTTCACAAACATCTTGTTTGTCAAGATACATGCTTTAAAGTAAACCCATACATAAAATTACAGATTTTACTATTTTATTCTCACAGGAGATGACTTTTTTAATGAAGGGATTCTTTACTATTTTTTTTATAAAACATCTAATCAGCTAAGGAACAGCAATTTTTAATTATTGTGAAAAATCTATATTGTATTTGAAGGACATAATTTCATATAATCAAACTAAAAGAGACCTCAGATTCATTTGTTTGTTTGCTCAGCAGTTGAGCAGAAAACAGTGTGGCTATGTTGGTGATTAGGGCAAAGGCTCAGCTTCCCTGAAGACCTTTTTTCCTCTTACCACTTTCTTTCTTAGTTGCTTATTTTCCTACAAACTTTATAAGAAAAGAGAGTAGGCACTTTCAGTTCTAATTAATCCCAACTCCTTTAGAGTGAGAGGCTCTTTAAAGAAACTGTGGAGCCTGTTTCTGCGTTCTCCACATCTCCTGTCTCGCCTTCCTGTTTCCTCACACAGAACCAGGCAGCAGGCGGAGCCTCAGCCCTCACCGCGCCACCGCAGCTGCGCATGCGACAGCCTTCATCTTCAAGGGGTTGACTTTTATTGCATGGCACAGATTGTTAATAGTATTCTGCATTTGATCCTTTTTCAAAACATACCAATCTACTAAAGTTTATAATCCATGTAAGTTTGAGGTAAAGCCAAAGTGAATTTGAACAGTCATAGAAGAGATTATTTAATTTATTTATTTAGAGACAGTCTATGTTGCCCTTGGTCGAGTGCTGTGGCATCAACCTCACAGCAACCTCAAATTCCTGGGCTTAAGTGATTCTCTGGTGTCAGCCTCCTGGGCAGCTGGGACTACAGGTGCCCACCACAATACCTGGCTATTTTTAGAGACAGATTCTCACTCTTGCTCAGGCTGGTCTCGAACTCCTAAACTCAAGCAATCCACCCAGCTCAGCCTCCCAAGGAGCTGGGATTATAGGCATGAGCCACCAAGCCTGGTCTAAGAGATTATTTTTAATTTTACAGTTATAGTACTTTATAGTGGATTAGATTTCTTTCCTATTATAATACATAACAGATCATATTGAAGTTTACTGTTTTCTCAGTATATTCATTTGAAAAGTACAGTGGAGGAAAGGACACTATAGACAGTAGCTATATGGTGCTTTCTCTCATGTGGCCAATACTCCGTCATCAGTGAAGTGTTAACCCTCTGCTACTCTCCGCATCCTGCTTAAATGTCGTATCTCAATGGTTAACTGTCCTAACTTGCAATATTTAATGTTAAAAATTTCAGGAGTTCCTTATAATTTCTTTATAATTCAAAACACATTTACCACAAAGTGTTTAGTAAAATACAGAAGACAATTATTAATGTTTCTTAGTTGTTTGGTTTGTATAATTAATTAGGCAGACAATTCACATTTTCAGAATTAGAGCCAATGGGGGTGCAGTCCACACAAAAAATAACCTAATGCTACTTTTTAGAAAACCCTTCTAACATACTAATCTCATGTCAGAGTGGGCTGCCTTGGGAGATACTATGCCACCAGAAACGTGAGATGTTGGATGGTCACCACCCAGGATTGCTGTGGAGAAAGTCAACAAGTACTTGGTAGCTGCTTCAAGTAGCAGAACTCCTGCATTAAAAAATTCAGTCATCTTAAACTCATTTTGAGATCAGACATTTGAAAACATGAGCTTTCAGAATCTTACCTATTCAGTATAGGGCGAAATCTACATATTGCCAGGATCTTCTTTTCCCCATCAGCTTTTAACGGCTTAATTTATATATAGTACTTGACCAGGTTAGTTACTGGATTTTCCAGCTCAAGTGCCTGGGGAACACATTACAGGACTTCCTGGCAGAAGTTAAGGAGAAGGTGGAGCACCTGGCGGAATGTGAAGACATGTGCTTCCCGTGTGGGTAGCATAACGCTGGCCTGGAGTCAGCAGATAACTCAAACTGAGTTTAATATGGCATTAAGATGTAGCTATATAAGAAAAAAAAAATGTAGCTATGTGGTTTTTAACAGTTCCAGCTGAAGTGGTTGAAATTAGTGGGAGTAAACTCTGAGTTGGATAAATTTGGTGTTGAAGTAAATGAAGTCTTAAATCCAGATGAAGTTACAGGTAAGTGAGGGTTACTTTTTAAACCATGCTTGTTAACCTCGAGTGCACTGGGATCCTTTTTGAAGCAGAGCGCTTGGCCTCTCTGCAACTTGCTGGCTGATGCGGCACTAGGTAAGTGGGCGTTTCCTCATGTGCCTCAGGTGACAGGGAGGTGTGCCAGCATGTCATATGTTCATTGTAGACTCAAATTTGTGAATAGATTCAAAGTATAGATGATAGATTCTCATTTTCAGTGCACACTAGAAAGGTATCCATGAGACTGTAATACTCATTGATTTCAAAACACCTTTTCACTGAGCTCATCTGGGACTTCTGTTTCCTCAGCTGTGCTGTGCTGTGCTGTCAGGGTTAAGAGCTTGGATTCTGCCTGACTGCCGGGGTCAGTCCAGACCAGGTGTGTGACCTGCTTTCCCTGTCTATAAAAATGGGTCAAGCGATAGTTACTTACCTCACAGATGGGATACAAGAAAATTTTAATGTTAGGGTTATTAAGTATGAAATGTCCAGTTAAGTGCCAGGTTTGACACTTTCTGTTTTATATTGTGAAGGTACCTCCTTATTCTTTCAAATGTACATTTTGCCTTGTGATGATCTTCCAAGTTTTTTTTTTTACGAGCAATCTTTGTGAAATCATGGGTAAGTCAAAAATTTATTTATTTTTCAATATGAGTTCTTCCTTGGAACCAATGCAGCATAGACAGCTCAAAATGCCAGCGAAGTGTTTGGGTGGGATTTGCTAATCAGTATGTCGGTGGTGTGAGAAGATCTGTCCTGGTGATTTTAATCTTAAAAGCGAGCCACGTGAGTGACCTGAGACCGAGGGAGTTAATGATGACCTGAAAGCTATGGAGTGGAAGGGAGTCCATCTCAGCCTACCCACAAATTGGCAGTGAGATACAATGTTACTATCCCAACAATACTGGACCATTTGAAACAAATGGGCAAGGTAAAGAAGCTGGATAGACGGTTCCTCGTGAGCCAAATGAGCCGCAGGAGAGCCAGCCTCTCGAAGCTTGCTGTCTGCCAGCGTAAAGGTGAGCCATTCTTACACCATACTATATATGATGAAAAATGGATTCTTTTTGGCAATCACAGGCTTTGTGGCACAATGATTAGATAAAGATGAATTGCCAAACACAGTGCAAAACTATTTGTCAAGAAAAGTTAATGGTGACCGATGGTCCAGTGCTAGTATTATCCACTACAGCTTTGTGAAACCTGGCCAGTCGTTCACAGTGGATGTCTCCTGCGGTCCACTGGACGAAACAGCCCAATCCTCTCGCAAGACAGTGCTGGACCACATGTCGCACAAACAGTGGTGCTCAAACTGTAGAAACTGGGCTTGGAAACTCTGTCATCCACCGTATTCACCAGACCTTGGACCAGCTGATACCATTTCTTCCACTGTTGGTGAGGAAAAATAGTTCTCAAAAAGCTATGAAAGCATCTTTCACGATCTCATCGCCATACGCTCTCCAGGGTTCTTTGCTGCTGACACACACAAGCCACCATTAAGGTGGCAAAACTGAATCAATAGTTCAGGTGCGTAGTTTGGAAGCACTTGTACTGCTTCCTGTTTGAGATCTATTATCTTTTGATTCAAAATAGGACATTTCATATTAATGACCTAAAAACATCTAAAGATCCTAGAAGATAGTGTTTGGTTGTATAAAGCACTCATTTTTTTTGCCATCATTTTTTTTTCATGGTCACGTTGTATTATATACCAAATATTAACCTCCAAATGTGTACTTACTTTTTTACTGTTTACTATTATAAACAACAATGAGTAAATAAATATTTGTGTATCTATAAGACAGATAACAACAGTGCACTTTGAAGACTGTAAACTTGTCTGCCAGATACTTTCTGGCATCAGCTGAATCTGTTATTTCAAAAGGAGTCTTTTAGGGATGTATAGAAGGGAAATTTCTTGGAAACAGGGGTTTGTGTATCTGTGCATTGTGACTGTACGAATGAGAGAGAAAGTAATTTAGACTGGTAAAAGATAATCCCTGTGAAAGAAAAAATTATATATACATATTTTGAGACAGAGTCTCACTTTGTTGCCCTCAGAGTGCGGTGGCATCATAGCTCACAGCAATCTCAATCTCTTGGGCTCTAGTGATTCTCTTGCTTCAGCCTCCCAAGTAGCTAGTACTACAGGCACCTGCCACGATGACTGGCTTATTCTTAGAGTTGGGTCTTGCTCTTGCTCAAGCTGGTCTCAAACCTGTAAGCTCAGGCAATCCACCCTCCTCCCCTTCCCAGAGTTCTGGGATTGCAGGTCTGAGCCACAGTGTCCAGCCCAGAAAATAATTTTTTAGGCCTTTTTTTTCTTCTTTAGCATTTGATCATTAAATGCTAAAAATATGACAAAGACTTTGCTAAATGTGGATAAAAAGTCTTCTGCCACAGAGCACAATACACAGGTTAGATCCTACAAAAACTTCACGGAACTCTGAGTTGTGACAGTATACACTAACAATGCTGGAAGCCAAATTCAGGTGAATGTATTAGATGAGTGGTCATCTTTAGTTTTATTTTGTGTGTATTATGTTGCAGGAACTATGTCTGGATGTACAATAGTGAGCCAGAAAATAATAG